CTCCACCCTCCTCACTACACACCACTTACGGCCAAACTCTCCCAGCAGACCGCATGTATGTACCGTATAAGGCAGAAGACAAGCGCCAGATGAGCGCATTCGTACCACAGCTTCGATACCAAATTGCAAGGAAGATGAGCATTAGCGAACTTCAGCAATCAAAACAGCATCATACATATGAGCCCAGATAGTCTTGACCTCGAACCACAGCAGACTTGCATTACGAGATACACCAAATAAGGACACACCAAGAGTTCAAAATTGACGATGCTGAAGTAGTCCCATCATCATCAACTACGAACCAGAGTTGATATCCTATTGGCGCTCGGCGCTCAGACTACATGTGGCAGATCCTATCTAGCCTATACTACGAAGCAGAATGATGACATCAACAGCGTTCCCGAAGTACGAGCATATGGCGACCAATGTCGCACGCTTCAGCACCAGGTATGTCTCTCGTAACACTCACAACCCCGATCCACACCGCACAGATGCCACTAGCACCCCAAGGACCACACTGCGCTTCACCTAGCATACAGCAGTGCAGCTTGGCTATGACTGCGTGCTCCTTCCTACTCGTCCGTGAGAGCGTGAGTGCCAGCCAGCCAGCGGATTGCGCAGCAGCGCTCACGCAGCATGCAGCCAGCACCCGAATGCCGAATGAGGAGGCAGGCCCTTCCCTACATCGAAGTGGCCTGCCTGCGTCCAGTCCAGGAAGCTTCCGGTAGGCCCTGGTAGGCACAGGCCCAGTCACGAAGAGAGCAGGCCTTGGGCCTGGAGTGGTTGCATGCGCCCAACCGCTTTCGGCCTGTGTTTGGCCCGGTACCCGTATCCAGCCCAGGGCCTGCTTCACATTCTTTTACACAGGCGGCCCAGGGCCTGGATTCATTCAACCAACTGGCGCAACACAACTGTCTGAATTTCCCTGATGCGGGGTACCCTGAAGAATGAGGCCCGAAGGGCCTGTCGTGCCTGCCTTCACTTAGGGCGGCCGACCTGGTTGCAGATAGGGCCCCGTAGGGGCTAAGCGGGCGTAGCCTCGCACATGACTTTTTCGAAAAAATTTTCTTTGGCAAACTAATCCGAATTTGACCCTCGAAGTTGCAACTTCCGGGTAGTTCACTCATTAACGGTGAACTCCCGGACTTAAGGTGATCTCAACAGATACCTAATCTTGATACAATTCAAATTCGTTCATTTGCAAATATTGGTTATTGATTACCTTATTACAAACATTGTTTTATGGATTATCATTAAGAATTATTATTTCGTTATTTATCATTAATTAAATGTTAGTGATTAAATAATTCGTAATTTTTTTTTTCTTATTACGAATTTCTGAATTGTTAACGGGAAATTTATTTTTCTGTTTTGATTAGGTGTCTACAGTCCATCAGTGGGACAGGGGACTGTATGCGAATTGTTTGACTGTTCTACCCCTGTTCCCACCCTCCCTACCCTCCCCGTACTCTGTGACCACCGGGTTTCTCAAGTACCACATCAGCTAGCACTGATGTCGATGGAACAAGACACCGGGGCACTGCCACGACGCAGTGCCAGGCTTGCAGGGCGTGCCAGCTCTGTGATACCTCTCCGACGCAGGACTCAGCGACTCAGCAGCGGGACGACTCCAGCGGCATCGAGTACAGCATTGACGGTACCGGTTACCACCGGAGTTCTTCCCGCATGCCCGGTCCAAGGGGCGGGTGAGCCGTTGGCAGGTTACCTTCAGCGGGTACAGGCATTCACTGATGCCGTAGCAACCGCAAAGGCACAGGAGGAAGCAGAGGCGGAGCGTCAGCGGCTGGCCAATGAGGCGGCAGCCCAAACTCAGCAGACTGCTGAGGATGACGCAGCAGCACGGGACCAACGGAATGCCGCCAGCACGGAATCCCTGATTCATAATGAGAATCAGTGGACAACGATCCTCGAGGGCATGATCTTTGTGCCTTCGGAAGAGCACGCAGATCCGACACCGGCGGAGGCAGAGAGGACTCACCTGGCTAACGTGATGTTGACGATGATGCGAGCGATCATGTGGAACAATACAATGTTAGCAGTACAAATACACGAAGGCAGACAGCTGAAACAGATTCAGCAGAAGGATTCTGCAGCCTTGTCAGCAGCTGTTCGCACTACCACCACACATCAGCAACAACAGCAACAGCTGTGGAACACCACCACCGCACGCGTCAGCAGCATCGAGGCTAAGGCCTCAGCAGCGCCAGGCTGCACGACAGACGAGACGAAGCAACTCAACGGGCGCATCGATCACGTCGTCAAGCTCATCGGGGACATAGGTATTTTCAATGGGCCGGACACGATCAGTAGCACGGTGGCCGCCATCTAGACGGACATCACCAAGCTACAGACGAGACCGGACGCCGCGACGAAGAGTTACAAGATGCCACACTTCGACATCAGCAAGTTTGACGACCACAACAAGACGGACGCCTTGGCATGGTGGCAACGTTTCCTGACGGAAGCATCCTGCCGCACTGTCCCAGACGACTACATGATGAAGGCGCTATACTTACAGCTGATTGGAGGAGCGCAGGCATGGATGAACCACCTGGCAGCTACCCACACATGCACCATCGCCGAACTTCACACGCACATCACGTGGAAGGAGTTCGAGCAGCTATGGTTCACCCGGTTCATGGTCCGCATCGTCGTGAAGGCGGCCATGAACGAGGTGTACACCTGCTCTTAAGGAAGTATGCCAACTCGAGACTGGACAACCAAGTGGCAAAAGATAGTGACCACGCCAGGCTTCGATTTGACTTTTCCAAATCAACGATCCGAGTTCTTCTCGCGATCGTGCGCAGGATTGCGGTCGGCACTCGGTAATGAGTACGACTATACCTCGTTCCAGGCTATCCTGGATCGCGCAAACCTGGTCATCCAAACGGATGACAAGGCCGCTAACGAGAAACAATCCCAGCCGCATTATGTGGCTAAGCAGGGCTATCAACGTCCGACACATAACAATGCCGTAATTTCTGAAGGAACAGACGATCTCCACGCTGCAGCAGCATCCTCG